CAAAAGTAAAAGTGGAACCGAGAGTGGTACGAGAGACAGAACGAGAGCAAGACAGACAGACATTACGAGAGCAAGACAGTTTGTCCCCGTACCACTGGTTGAAAACCACTGCTGTAGATCACTGCCGGTACGTGCACTGGGAGCGCACCGTTTAAGTTTGAAAGTTGAAAAGTTTGTGTGTCTGAAATGCTATGTGATACAGTACAGTTTACACAGCACAGTACATGTTCTGTAGCTACTATTGCACTAAATGCTAACACTTGAATATGTTATGCAAATATGCAACTTGTTTGTTGAAATGTTAATAAATGGGAGCTTCCTCAAACAGCCATCTCTTTCCCGATAATCCCCTCTGTGCACGAACCCTTACATATGGTAATTAAACATTAAAACACCTGCGGCTTATAGTCCAGTGCGGCTTATATATGTACACATCATTCAATTTAGCTGCTGCGGCTTATATTCAGGTGCGCCTACAGTCCGAAAATTACGGTACTTTTTGTTTGTTTGTCAGATGGATTATGGAAAAAAAACTGTAAACTTCAGAAAAACTCGAAACATTTTGAGCGAATCCAAAAAAAGTCTCTTTCCAAGTGTAGTTTATTCATGATTGTTGTCTCTCTCTGCTGCAGGGCTCATGAACAAGACCTTTCAAGGAGACATGAGAGGGATCTGGGGGAGATGAGTATAGTTCATCACAGAGAAACACAGATTATCCTGGCTGACTTCAACAAGGCCCAGGAGGTCCTCAAAGACAAGATCACTGCGCTGCAAATCCTGTGAGTCAGAGAGGCATTCAGTGTTGCCACTTCTGCAGCATTCTCATTCTCATTAATCACCGCTTTCTCCTTGTCATCGTGTCTTCTTACTTCTTGTATATGTGTATGTGAAGGTTGGAGGGGACAGAGGACAAGTTGAGGCACAGAGAAAGCCGACCAGAAGACCTGCATGTTATCGCAGATCTCAGAGAGATGGTCACAGAGAGAGAAGGTCTGGTGAAGAAGCTGGTGGTGAGTCCTGATGCTCCAACATCATAACTAATAATGGCACATTTGATCCTTTTCAGCATGAAAACACAATTCCAGTAGACGTGTCCTGCAGTATGAGCTATCAAAAATGGTTTCCTCTGTTACCAGTCTTATGGTCTTTCTCAGGACGACAAGAAGTTCTACCAGCTGGAGTTGGTCAGCAGGGAGACGGGCTTCAACAAGGTGTTCAACTCCAGTGCCAACGTAGGTGTAATCAACCCTCTCATCAAGGTGAGTGTTTTATTACCCATAGGCCCTTGTGGCATAGATACTACGGTGGTGTGATATTTTTCTAACTCGAACATTTTCTGATCATAATGTACCCTCTATTCAGCCTTCTCTTTCATTTCCTTAAGTGTGTTCTATTGTTTGAGCTCCACGAGGTGTCAAAGCACGATATCATCCCATTCTCCTGTGTGTGTGAACATTACATGAGCTCTGTGCACAAAGCTGCTGATCGCCCTCCTGATGCTCACAGCTGCTCCTGTTGAACCCCAGGAGACATTCAGAAACAATAGCGCTTGATTTCAGCACCACCCTCTTCTTCCTCTCTCTCCTCCTCCTCCTCCTCTGGCTCATGGTGGAGTTGTTACCTAAAACAGCATTTCATTTACCAATCACATTATCTCAAAACTAAACCCTGGAGGTGGAGGAATAAGCTCCGCCCCCCTCCGACTTTGGACAGCTCCCTCCACACTGTTCAGCCCTCTTCCTCTCTCTCTCCTCTTCCTCAGCTCCCTCCTCTTCCTCCTCCTTATCTTCATCCTCCACTTCATCCCATGTCAAGCCTTGCTCTTCCTCATGCTCCTCATCCTCAGGAAGCCCTGGTACAGCAGAGCGTTAGGAGGTGAGAATGAATCTCTTACTGCCACTGCTGCCCCTCTACTTTCACACGGAGAGTCACCTTCTAAACACTCTACCTCACCTCACCTCCTAGCTACCTTCCCTTTTTTCCTCACCCCTTACCCTTAGCTAAAGAAGGGATTATTTCCTTTACAGGTAGATATTAGCATTTTGACCAAAGCTGAAGTGACACATCTTTTTTTCTGCTTTTCAGGAATGAAAATCTGTAAATCTGCAACCACTAAGTACGCAGTCTGGTGCATTTTTTACCAATTGATGTCTTTGCCCACGCTGTATTTCCTTAAATGCACAGTATGTGAGATTTACTAGAGCTTTTTGTCCCTCACACCACAATGCAATGGATCACATGGGAATCTTTTCATCCCTCACATCGCTGCAGTCTCTCTCCAGTAGTTCAGGGTCAACAGAGAAATCGAATGAAGATATAATCTCTTTTTGATCCATTATGCTTTAACGCCTCATTTTCCTTTTTCGTATCATTGAACTATCACACAATCTCTCAGAGAATCTCTTTGAAATGTACTCTCAGTCCACACTGACAAAAGCCTCTCGCCAAACTTGCAAAGAAAGTGACTCTCCGTCTCTTCTGTTTCCTCCCTCAGCCTTCCTGAACCCAACGCCACAACCCCGCCCGACCCATCGGGGGTGGAGGCGGGAAAAAGCCTTGAGTGCGTAGTAAAAGATGAGGACCTGTACTCGCAGTACTTCACTTTCTGACTGTCAAAAACAAATCTGTCAAAAAGAATGAAGGTAATGGGACAGAGAGCTAAAGTTGGACAGCAAACTGTAGGTTTTGAAAGTCATTTGGACGACATTAATACATCAAACGTCCATCATGTGCAGGACTGAGTGTGTGATTCAAACCTTAGGGCTTCCATACATGGTGAGTGCCCGAACATGAAAGTGTGCATGGTAGCATTCATTAACACTTTTATACCGTCTGCAACATGTGACATTTGTGAGAGCCTAACCCTAAGACCCTTCAAAGTATCCCACATACATTTTAATGTACATTTAAATCATGACTTGGTTATTTCATGTTATATATGGATAAGTGGAAGGGAAATAAATGCTCATAACTGATAGAAACAACTGCCTTTAAACATTCTCCATGAAATAATGATCCCTTATGATATTTGAAACTGGGTTCTTAAGCTCATACCAAAAGGTCACAAACTGTCGCAGTGAGTATAAAGTGGGACACTAGTAACTGTAGATTAAGAGGAAATGTTTTCACCGTCATATAAGATTTTTTTTGTACATCAACATGTGTCTTACACGCTGTGATCTGACAGGAGAACGTCTTTTGCCTTGATACTCGCCTTTAGTCATTCATGCTGTCACCCCATGTGAAAATGCACACATTCAAACATGTGTTTGTGAAAAAGGGACAAACCCTGCTGTTGATTCGGGTGTTTTTTTTACCTAAATAATCTACAGTACTCCACAATGACGACACCAGCAAAATGAAAAGCCTAACTTTAGCTTCCTGTCCCAGTACTTCGACTGTGTACATACAGTTTATGTTTGAAAGTCATTTTCAAATAGGGGGGCTTGATTACCACACCTGAACATGGAGAGGAAGGGAATCAAGCACCCCTCATATTTTTGTTATAGCAATATTTATAACATGCTACTGTTTTTCTACGGTCTGTATGTGGTGGACCAGAGATGTGCAGAAAGAGAGTTCTGTCAGCGACATGTTGAACGTTTTTTAATGCCAAGGAGTGTTTAATCAGACACTTTATTTTCATTACAAGCTATGTGTTCATGTCGCTGCCTGAAGCCTCCTGCTGCGCCTCTCTGCAGGACACAGACCTTAGAGCATGTGGAAACAGAAACACTATCATGATGCTGCTGTCACTCACTTGAAATCCTCACACGTTCAGTTTTTTGGTGTACCGTCTGTTTTCTAACTTGAAAGTTTACATTGTTCTTGTGTCATTTTTTCATGACTTGAAGTCCATTGGGTATCCTGTACAGTTTCCAGACTGCATGGTCACCTTCAGCCAGAGGAAGGCTGTTTCTTACTTACTGAGAATCGGACAGAAAAACGTGAGGTTTGAGAGTTTACTTCCTGTTTCAACGACAACACAAACCGTTTCATCACAGCTCGTCTTCCATAGCTGAATCCCCCCCCTCTCGTCGATAATACACGATCGTCGGCACTCTGGTAAAATAATTTTTTCAAAAAGGTTGCCGGCCCCTGCACTAAAGGCCTCAATGGTTACAGGAAGTGTTTTCATTGTTTATCTTCACAAGTTGTAATAATACAATCCTCATACATCTACTAAATACTAAATATATATACATGTTTTTGACGGTTCATTACATTGTCATAAAGAGTATTTCATTTTCATCTGCTCATTTTACTGCATGTACAATGACATTAACACAGCTTCTCTAAATTAACAGTTTTGTAAAAAAAAAAGAAACACTTCCTGAAACCAAGTTGAGAGAGATCCTGTGTGTTTACGTGTCATATGGGAAAGTGATCCTGATGTCCACAGCTGATATTACATTGTTTAGTTGTAAATATTGACCTGTCATAAATACGGAGGATGATATGGGATCCATGCGCACTGTGAAGAATATATTTATTCAAATGAATATGTTGATATATTGACATTTACGCTCAAACATCTGCATCAGACAATGCACAAGTGTTTAGTTTCTTATAAGCGATTTTTAATTAATGCATTTTCTCACTATTTTATTTCCATTTGAAGAAGCACACCCTGGAGGCTGCCCTGTTTCAAAGTGATAGAGTGAAACCACAAGGTCCATACAGTGAACTTTTGATTATATCACATGATCTTCGTCAGCTGATAGTTTGCTCTGTTGTCCTTTTACTACAGATACTTAAATATCCGCTTTTTTCCCCTTGCACTTTGATTTGTTACTGCACTTTCTCGTCCATGTCGCCTCAAAAGTTGAGGTTCAAAGCTTATCCACATATCACATAATCTTCAATATTGTTTATTGTTTTTTATGAACAAAGAAACGTGTAAAAATAAAATATCAAATATTTGAAATATTTATTTATCTGTTTGTTTTTTTGTTTTACTTTCTGTATTGTTTGGAGAGTAATGTATGTCCTTTCCTCTGAGCCATTTGATCGATTTCTCTCTGAGCTAAAGAAGTTTCTCACCATCACATGACCCTGTCCATTGTTACCCTGAGATTTATGTGTTTTTGTATTAAATGTTGTAACCTTTCAAACTGAACAGCTTCTCAAAGTCTGGCAGAGGAAACTGGAAATGTGCTTTATTTTAAAACTGGCATCAACAGACCATCAGTGAACCATAGAAACTGCAACTCATTAAATCTGAATTGTTTGTTAAAATGTTGTATGTGACGATTTGCTGATCAGGGTTTTTTTCACTTCACTTTCAACGCAGACAAACTGGAAGAAACTTTACACTTTAGGAAATAAACTGAAATGGTAAATGTGTTGCAGTTTGTATTTGAGTTGAAAGTGATTTGAATACAGCTTTGTGACTTATTATTTAATGATGTCTGTCTTGTCTTTTTTGAAGTAAAAAATATATAACAATTATAGCAACAATATTTATTTATATTTATATAATTTATGTTGTATGTTATGGAACAGTAAATTATGATTGTGAGATAAAGCCTTCTGTCGTGCTCTTTTTAGTGTGTGTGTGTGTGTGTGTGTGTGTGTGTGTGTGTGTGTGTGTGTGTGTGTGA